TGTAATTTTTAGGAAAGCTTTATTCAAACCCAATACATTTCTGAATGAATTTCTTTGAATATTTGCAACTACATTATTGTTGAATTTTTTCCATCCAAATAACCATATCAAGGTATCATAATTTCTCAAATTTATTGATTCTAATTTTCTAGTCCTTCATTAATTCTATATACCAAGTATTTTAGTATTTGTAAATCTTAATCTGTGAGGTATAAATTTTTATGGCAAATTTTTAATTTAGGTTAGAATATGAACGCCGAAAATTTCGTTAAATTTAATGGTTATGCTTTTATGGTATCTCGAGATATTGAAGGGTACTTCCTTCCCTCTTTGTATATGAGAACAATTTAACAAGTATTAAATTCGCAACTCATAAAAAATATAAATCTTCTTTTTGATTAATTTTTGATTCAATTCTTTTAAACTCTACACTACAAAACTAGAACCAATTTAATTTTACTTACAAAAGAATATTTCACTTTCAACAAACGAAAAGGTTAATTATGATTATATTGACTTGAAGATTGTGATTTTTCTTTTATTTTTAACAAGTTCATAATTTAGAATTGATTATGGTTTTTGCTACTTTAGCATGAATAAGATCACCATTTACTTAGTGCTATCTGAGTAATCAATTTTTGTTTCACAAGAGTGTAATCTCACATTATCCTTAACTAATTAATGTCAATATATCATTTCTTAATAAATCATAAATTTGCTTCAAACATAGTAAATAATACCTTAAAATATACTTTATTACATTCATTTAATGATACATCACAAAGTATCTCAAGTGCTAGCATTTTTGAGAAATAATTAACTAACTCATTTTATTAGTCTGTTCTCTAGCAATTCCAGTCTTAAATAATTCGAAGCTAAAGGATTAATTTAAATTTCTTCATTCATGAATTTTGGAATGCAAAACTATCTAAAAAATATCTTCTAACACAAACCACTCCATTTGTTTTATGATTGTTCTTGGCAAATTTTGGCATTATTTTATCTGGCTTTTTATAGTTTCTGAAGCACAGCATTACATTCTTATTTTGATTCATACTTTAGAAGGCTTTAACATTTATTTGTTATACCCTTGCTTTTATGATGTATCGAATAAATTTTCTAGATGATTTGTCTACTAGTTTTGATTTTTTGTCATACCTTCAATTAGTTTTGAGAAAGTTATTTATCAATTATAATTAGCATAGTATTAACAGTTCTTAGACCTTTAGGCAGCTCTCATTAACATAAGCAGTTCGAGACTAGCCAAATTCAATATTTCAATTTGCTTTCTTATTACTACAAATTTTTCTTTATTTAACCAATTATATTTATTGTTTGTATTATTAGTTAAACACCTTTAAAGTTTTGTGTTCTATCGGTATGCTCTGAATTCTGTATGACAATTATTGGAGTTGAGCATTTGTATTCAAGAACAGTTTTAATCCTTTTTATTCCTCTTTTGCTTTAATTCATTTTATATATTACAAACAGAAATTTGGAGTAAGCCTTGGCACATCTTATTTCATAAAACAGTAAACTCTGAAATTTGCTTATCAAATATTACCACAAGCTCCCATCCCTTTATAAAGAAGGAGTAATCCTTTTTCCTATAATTTTATGCAGTTGATTTGTAGCATTTTCTTCACCGAGGTTTTTGTAAACTCATTATTATTGAATAACACATACCTTCATTAAAATTTAGTACATTTGTATGCATTCTTTATCATCTCTATTGAGTGTACTTTAAGGATTTAATTACTTAATAAGAATAATAATTGAATGAATCAGCGAAAGTTGGATGATATTTTGCTCAACTTAACAAAGTGAATAGCACTCAAATATAGAGATATTTTAGTGTAATACCTTTGGTACAGTCAATTGACGCATTTGCACCTACTTTTCCATCTACCCAGCTGTGGATTATATTAAAGCAGATATTTTAGAACATCCTTTATTTAGGATCATCATCATAGATGGTTTGAATCCGTTGAATCTTTATAAGATTTATCATGACAGCCAATAGAAACCTGAAGAGTGTTCAAGAAATTAGTAATCTAGAGATTTAATTATTGATAAATTCAGTTGAATAGTAGAATTAGTATAGAAAGTACAAATTATTTAATAGAATTACAAGTAGAAGATATTTATTTTTATAGCTAGTATATGTTATTAAAAACTCTAACTAAAGGAATTTATTAGAAAAAGTGTAAAATTTAAAAATGGAGATTCAAATGATGGAGATTATTTGAATGGCGAAAAACATGGAAAGGGATAATTTAAAAGGGCTAATGGAGATTCATATTAAGGTGGTTGGAAAAATAATGAAATATGAATGGAAAGGGATAATGTACATGGGGTGATGGGACTTTTTATGATGGAGATTGGGTAAATAACAAAAAACGTGGAAAGGGTAAATAAAAATGGGGCGATGGAACTCAATGGCTGTAGATTCATATGATGGTGATTGGATAAATAATGAAATGCATGGAAAGGGTTTATATAAATGGGCTAATGGAGATTTATTTTATGGAGATTGGGTAAATAATAAAAGAACTGGAAAGGTTTAAGTTAAATGGGCTGATGGGACTTTATACGATGGAGATTTGGTAAATGACTAATTACTTGGATTTGGGGAATATAAATCTGTTAATGGTGAAAAATATAATGGTAAATGGGTCTTTAATGAAAGAATGTGAATTTTTAATATTTTTTTTTAATATTACAAGGCTATATTATATGAAAATCAATCATTCCTAAGACTTTAAACTATATCTTAAAATTAGATTTTAGTTGGTTGCTCAATGTGAAATTTTTTAAATAATGTAGATTAAGAATTAAAGATTTGATTCAATAAAGTGACAATGAATTAATTGCAATACATTTACAGTCCCATGTAAATTTGGGCGTTACAAAAATTCATAGCCATCTTCTAAAAAGAAATGAAGAGGTTATAAATAAATATAAACGATTACAATCCTATCAGAAACAGAGCGAGAGCTACCTGAGAAATATATTTAAAGTCAGATCTTCGTTTTTTGCAAATTTAAAGAAAAAGTATTAATCTTTGAGGAGTGATTAGAGATTCAAATTTGATAGTGATTCGGATGTTGTTATTTATTTCACACTAAAATTTTCAGAAACTTAAGCTACACATGTAAGTCTAAATCGCTCTCTGTTAAAATTGTGATTGAACTTTCAATAATATAAATAAATGATGCAATTCTTTATTAAACTAAAATATTCTTTGTAAGTTTATATAACAATTTTGGATTCAAGCCAACAACATTAAAAAGAAAATCTATCCTCAATTGGCATGATAACATTAGAAACAGTTCAAGAGGTTATTAAGAAAAATAAATTCAATTAAAGAGAATGAATAACAGCGGAAGAATCAAAGTGACCATATGATTTGCTCGAATGATAATAAGCAACTCTTATTATCAAGTTGAAGATTTCTAAGATAGATGGAAAATCGAGTATTGTTGGAACTCAATGAAGGGAATCAGAGTGTTAAAATTAAAACTTATTGTTACAATTCGTATCAAATAGAATTTAATGAAAATAATCTAAATTACTTATGATTATTATAAAATATGTGAGGTAAGTAAAATAAACAAATTCCCTAAATAATCTTATAGAAGTTAGAAAGAGTAATTCTTTAGTATCTATTGATGCTCAGATAAAGTAGAATGATGGAGAAAAAGAGGATAATGATATTGTTTTTAAAATAACCAGTTTATATATAGATTTGAACTTATGATATTAATAGTACTGAAGTTAATTTGTATGTAAAAGATATTGAGGCTAGCATTTATTCACATTCACAAATGATGCAAACTGTGTCTCCCATTAAATAATACTTCTGATAAGATATAGGAATACTTTAAAAATTGATGCAATTTCCTGACTTTAGTTTTCGACAAAAGTTGTGATGTTAAGCATATAATTGAGCAGTCAGAATGATTCTTATA